GAATTTTTTGCTATAGGGAGCATACGCGCGCCAGAAAGAGAATGACAGAGAGACAGAAAGCAAGAAACCACCCCCCAGGGGGATGGCCATGTCGCAATCCCTTCTCCTCCATTCTCCTCTCAGGATCTTGGGCACACACGGACATGCACCTGGCTTGAGTCTAAGCCACCAGGTCTGGGACTCCAACCACGGTTGACTACATGGGAGTCCAGCAACACAACCATTACACCAACTGTTGGTTTGTCTTTTTTTTAAAGAGAGATATTTGCTATAGGAACCGTGCACTCTCCAGAGAGAATCAGAAAGTGAGAAATCACCCCTGGGGGGGTGGCCACACCACAATCCCTCCTCTTCCATTTGCCTCTTGAGATTTTTGGGCATGCGTGCACACACACCCAGTGATAGTTTCAAGCCGCTGGGGCACAGACTCGATCCATGGTTGACTACATGGGAGTCCAGAGCCTTAACCACTACACTACCTGCTGGCTCTGGGTCATTTAAAATGTCTTCATTTTAGTTTTTTCATCTGCCAAATGGAGATATTACCATACAAAAATAACTCAAAGAGTTAGGAGAAAAACATGAGTTCTTTGTAAATGATGCAACATTTACAAAGAAGGTCTTCTGTTTCTGTGCAGATCTAAATGAAACAAATACTGAAAGCATCTGAAAGTGTGAGTCACATTAGCTCTTTAGAACTTCAGAGTGATGGCTGGGGAAGTTAGGGGAAGAAGAGCAAACCCAGCAGGTGCTCATTTACTCTCCAGTGTTTTTTATTTTCTTGTCTTAAATTTATTTATTTTACATTCATTCACTGAATATCATCACAACATAAAAAAAATGCAATTTCCCATCCAGAATACATATTGACTTAATCACACATGCTATCGTCAACAAATAATTTTCCATTTCTTTTTAAAAAAAATCATTTATTTATTTAATTTTGTTATTATTATTTATTTTTTAATTTGACCAGAGAGACAGAGAGAGAGCGAGGGAAGGGGAAAGTGAGAAAGCAAGCTGGCAGGTCTGGGTCGGCCATGTGGGAATCCAACACCTTAAACACCACACCACCTGCCAGTCCCAATTTCTTTCTTTCTTTTTTTTTTTTGAGAGGTTTTTGCTATAGGGCGCGTGCGCTCGCCAGACAGAGAGAAACATAGAGACAGAAAGCGAGAAATCACCCCCCGGGGGGATGGTCACACCGCAATCCCTTCTCCTCCATTCTCCTCTCGGGATCTTGGGCACGCACGCACATGCGCCCGGCGTGAGTTCTAAGCCATGGGGTCCAGAATGCGAACCGTGGTCGACTACATGGGAGTCCAGCGACATAGCCATTACGCTAACTGCTGGTTCCCCCCTCTGATTTTTATATTACTGCTTCTAAGGTGTTGGTTATAGCAGCCAGAACAGACTGAAAAGACAACCAAACTGAAATTGTGTAAGGAGAACAACTGAGATGATTTGTTAAATAAACATGTTCCCCCACCCCCTACTTTCTTCTGGCCCAGTGATTCTGAAGGACTCCTAAAAAAGAAGAAAGAACACACACAGGGCCAGTCAGTGTGGTTAAGGTGGCTGTATCTCGTATGGCCGACTGGGCCCGGTGGCTTGAAAAACACACAAGGCGCACGTACAAATCCAAAATCCTGAAAAAGAAAGAAGAAGCGGAGAAGGGATTGTGGCATGAACACTTTCCATGGAGACCCTTTTTCACTTTCTCCCCCTTTCACCTCAGTGAGTACAAGCCTTCTCTGGTAAATAACACACACACACACACACACACACACACACACACACACAATGAAAGGGAGGGTCAAAAGAAAAGTTCTAGTGTTATTAAAATGTGACAGAAAGAATTTAAGCCCTCATTAAAAAGACTGATGCCTAGACTGTAAATAACTTCACAGTTGAATTTTAAATATTTTCCCCACACTTTTTTTTTTTTTAATAGAGAGAGATTTTTGCCACACTGCAATCCCTTCTCCTCCATTCTCCTCTCGGGATCTTAGGCACACACGCACACGCGCCTGGCATGAGTTTAAGCCAGTGGGTCCTGGACTCAAATGTGGTTGACTACATGGGAGTCCAGCGACATAGCCATTATGCCAACTGTTGGTTCTTCCCAGATACACTTTTAAATATGTGTTCATAAATATTCCTTTGAATGGGTACTTTCCCATGTATTGAATCAATACTTTGTGATCTGGGTATTAACGTTGTTTCCTTTTCTGATTTACACCGACAGTGTGGTGATGAATGTTACTGTGATGTGGTAACTTTAAATTCCATGATTCCTCTTTTCCAGGGAGATTCCTTCCTGCCATACCCCTCATTCCAGGCAGGACTTCAGGAATACCGGAAACAAACTGCCAGAAAGAGAGACTGGTACAATATCTGGGGAGCTTGCTTTTGGGCTTCTGGGATTCTCGCCTACAGAAAGGCCCAGTGGGGTCTGAGAAAGGCCTTCTTTGAGCACACAGCCTTGCCTGGCCCACACAGGAGCACAAGGAGCTTCTGCCAGACAGACAGCAGGCCCAGCAGTCAGGAAACTCTTCTTCCCAAGCAGTTTGGGAACTTCTCATCTTCGACATCCTTCCTGGTGTTAATACCTTTATTTACGTTGCTGTACACATTTCTTTGATTTGGCCTTGCTGAGAGGACAGGCCAGTAAGAGGAGCGGTGGCTGTCATCGTGAGTGGTTACAAACCTACGCACTCTCCTCTTCTGCTCCTTTTCTGTAATAGCTCAATGGTTCACAACTACTCCCTGGGGGGAACATTTAAAAACGTGAGGGGTTTCCCATTGTAACTACAATGATGGGGGCACTCCTGACACTTATGGCAGGGAAAGTATAAGAAATTCCTCGAAGCACAGTCTGCACAATGAGGCGTCCCTCTCCCAGATTCTCAAAAGTCCCCTAGGACATTCGTGTAGGTGAAAGCCTGTGTTTAATTATCTGAGCCTGGAACTTAATACTTTTTTTTTTAACAGCTTTAATATACAATGAACTTTCCAGGAATGCAATTACAGTTCTGTGTAAATGTAGGAAAGATTGAGGTAGTTGAGTCACCAACTGAGCACCTGCACAGCCGGTGCTGGTAGCAGTTCCAAGCCTGGGATTCCAGGTGGGGAAGCACCTGCACTGCATTGTCTTCAAGCTCAGCCGGGCCTCAGCGCTCACAGGGACACTGCTGCTGTTATCCCAGGCTCCTTTTATTCCTCCTTTATATCGGGGACAGGGAAGCATTTTGATTTTTCTAAAACGAAGTTATGTGTGTAACTTATATCACTATGAAGTTTAATTCAGAACAGTAAAGGAGCGGTTTCAAAATATTATGAAAAAAAGGGCTGAAGGTCGAGAACTGCAGTTCCAGACAGCGTCAAAATGCAGTTTCTTTCCATCTTTTCACCAGGACCAGCAAGACACGAATGTTTTTTTCTTTTTCTTTCTTTCCCAGAAGGAGCCCTTTCTGAGCCCAAGAACAACAGCAACACACACACACACACACACACACACACACACACACACACACACACACACACACCCTTCCACTGCCAGGAACCTCTGCAGCTGTCAAAAGGCCTGCACTTCCCCGCCATCTCTGAGCTTCCAGTCCGCCCTTAGTCAAGAACTATTGTTTGCTGGGCCCGGTGAGCACTGGAGGTAACGCTGGCTACTGCTCCTGCTCATCTGGAGGGTTTGTTTTTGCCCCCCCTTTTCCCCTTCGACCTCATTTTCCAAGATACACCTTGTCCCCGTCTAGTGCTTCCACCGTCGTCTTTGCGCTCCCGTCACGCTGCAGGCGAGTAGTAACGCTGCAGGGCGGTGGGGCCGCGGTGGCCCGGCGCCGAACTGGGGCGGGGGAGGTCTCCCCACCCAACTCGGAGCGCTCGGGCGGCGCCCCCCTCGCCGCCCCCTCCA